GCGGTGCCCGTCCAGAGCAAGCCGTCAGCCATGCGGGGTGCGCCGTGCAGCTACCCTCTGAGTGGCGGTGCCCGTCCAGAGCAAGCCGTCAGCCATGCGGGGTGCGCCGTGCAGCTACCCTCTGAGTGGCGGTGCCCGTCCAGAGCAAGCCGTCAGCCATGCGGGGTGCGCCGTGCAGCTACCCTCTGAGTGGCGGTGCCCGTCCAGAGCAAGCCGTCAGCCATGCGGGGTGCGCCGTGCAGCTACCCTCTGAGTGGCGGTGCCCGTCCAGAGCAAGCCGTCAGCCATGCGGGGTGCGCCGTGCAGCTACCCTCTGAGTGGCGGTGCCCGTCCAGAGCAAGCCGTCAGCCATGCGGGGTGCGCCGTGCAGCTACCCTCTGAGTGGCGGTGCCCGTCCAGAGCAAGCCGTCAGCCATGCGGGGTGCGCCGTGCAGCTACCCTCTGAGTGGCGGTGCCCGTCCAGAGCAAGCCGTCAGCCATGCGGGGTGCGCCGTGCAGCTACCCTCTGAGTGGCGGTGCCCGTCCAGAGCAAGCCGTCAGCCATGCGGGGTGCGCCGTGCAGCTACCCTCTGAGTGGCGGTGCCCGTCCAGAGCAAGCCGTCAGCCATGCGGGGTGCGCCGTGCAGCTACCCTCTGAGTGGCGGTGCCCGTCCAGAGCAAGCCGTCAGCCATGCGGGGTGCGCCGTGCAGCTACCCTCTGAGTGGCGGTGCCCGTCCAGAGCAAGCCGTCAGCCATGCGGGGTGCGCCGTGCAGCTACCCTCTGAGTGGCGGTGCCCGTCCAGAGCAAGCCGTCAGCCATGCGGGGTGCGCCGTGCAGCTACCCTCTGAGTGGCGGTGCCCGTCCAGAGCAAGCCGTCAGCCATGCGGGGTGCGCCGTGCAGCTACCCTCTGAGTGGCGGTGCCCGTCCAGAGCAAGCCGTCAGCCATGCGGGGTGCGCCGTGCAGCTACCCTCTGAGTGGCGGTGCCCGTCCAGAGCAAGCCGTCAGCCATGCGGGGTGCGCCGTGCAGCTACCCTCTGAGTGGCGGTGCCCGTCCAGAGCAAGCCGTCAGCCATGCGGGGTGCGCCGTGCAGCTACCCTCTGAGTGGCGGTGCCCGTCCAGAGCAAGCCGTCAGCCATGCGGGGTGCGCCGTGCAGCTACCCTCTGAGTGGCGGTGCCCGTCCAGAGCAAGCCGTCAGCCATGCGGGGTGCGCCGTGCAGCTACCCTCTGAGTGGCGGTGCCCGTCCAGAGCAAGCCGTCAGCCATGCGGGGTGCGCCGTGCAGCTACCCTCTGAGTGGCGGTGCCCGTCCAGAGCAAGCCGTCAGCCATGCGGGGTGCGCCGTGCAGCTACCCTCTGAGTGGCGGTGCCCGTCCAGAGCAAGCCGTCAGCCATGCGGGGTGCGCCGTGCAGCTACCCTCTGAGTGGCGGTGCCCGTCCAGAGCAAGCCGTCAGCCATGCGGGGTGCGCCGTGCAGCTACCCTCTGAGTGGCGGTGCCCGTCCAGAGCAAGCCGTCAGCCATGCGGGGTGCGCCGTGCAGCTACCCTCTGAGTGGCGGTGCCCGTCCAGAGCAAGCCGTCAGCCATGCGGGGTGCGCCGTGCAGCTACCCTCTGAGTGGCGGTGCCCGTCCAGAGCAAGCCGTCAGCCATGCGGGGTGCGCCGTGCAGCTACCCTCTGAGTGGCGGTGCCCGTCCAGAGCAAGCCGTCAGCCATGCGGGGTGCGCCGTGCAGCTACCCTCTGAGTGGCGGTGCCCGTCCAGAGCAAGCCGTCAGCCATGCGGGGTGCGCCGTGCAGCTACCCTCTGAGTGGCGGTGCCCGTCCAGAGCAAGCCGTCAGCCATGCGGGGTGCGCCGTGCAGCTACCCTCTGAGTGGCGGTGCCCGTCCAGAGCAAGCCGTCAGCCATGCGGGGTGCGCCGTGCAGCTACCCTCTGAGTGGCGGTGCCCGTCCAGAGCAAGCCGTCAGCCATGCGGGGTGCGCCGTGCAGCTACCCTCTGAGTGGCGGTGCCCGTCCAGAGCAAGCCGTCAGCCATGCGGGGTGCGCCGTGCAGCTACCCTCTGAGTGGCGGTGCCCGTCCAGGCCCCTGCCACTGCAAGTCCCATGGTCTTCTGAACACGTGTCCTGGGAGCCCGAGTCTACTTGTGACAGCTGTGAGGGGACCTCCCTGGCATCGACTCACTCCTGGCTGCAAGGCTACTGACAACCTGCTGTTTCAGTCTTCCACTAATTTAAAAATAGAAATTCTTTTTTTTTTTTTAAAGGAAAGATGTAAAGCACATGTGCTCGCCACAGACAGAGAGAAATCAGCTCCCCACCCCAACGCCAGGAATGGCCACACCACAATCCCTTCTCCTCTGTTCTCCTCTTGGGATTTTGGGCACACATGCACATGCACCAGAGCGAGTTTCAAGCCTCTGGGTCCAGGACTCGAACCACGGTTGGTTACCGACCTGTAAAGCACACATTCTGGCCTGTCATTTCACTTCAGTTGTTTCTTTGCCTGAACTCGCCTTGGTTGAGGCTTGGGTAAACCAGTGACCAACCCCACACGGACTAGCCCCAGTCTGACCAACCGCCCCCATTCTGACCAGCCCACCCTGACCGCCGCCACTCTGACCAGCTCTAGTCTGACCAGCCCACTCTGACTAGCACGGTCCCAGGGCTGCTTTCTGCCCTGAGCCTCTTTCACATCAGGCCTGAAACTTGTGCTCTCGTATTTAAGTCCCTAATAGCCATGGCTGGTGCTGGGCAAGCTGGGGTAGGAGCCATGAGGCTGGGGTTGGGACCACTGAGTAGCCCTCAACCATTTGCTGGGGGCATACCTGAGAAGTGAGGAGGAGCTTATGTGCTCAGCTGTGAACAAGCAGGAGCAGGGTTAGAGCCCCTGTCTCCACCAGCACCCACAGCTCAGCCTCCTCAGTGTAGACAGCAGAGCCAGCAGCAGAGCATGGATGGTTCTGGAAACATGTTTCTTGCAAGAACTAAGTCGGACCTTTCCTGAATTGGAACGAGGAGCTGAGTCCCCGGTGGGGATGACGAGGAGGAGCTCTGGGTGGACAGTCAGCAACAGGGCACCTGGCTCGGAGCTGACCTGCCTGTCCCACCTGACGCCATTTCCTGGCACGCCTGAGTCTGGCTACACGGGACGTGTCCCTGTCACATTTCATAATCTCTAACAATCACATAGTGCTCACACTTGCACAAATTGTTTTTGCCTTCAGGGAAAAAAGGAATCTGTCCCAGGGTTAGAGCACTCCGCGGAAGCTGTTCTATCGCACGCACAGCCAAGGGGGAGGCATGGTGAAATCGGGAGACTCAGTTCAATAAATGCAAGGCATCCTGAGTGACCCCACAGAAAGGGCGTATTATTAAAAACTCTGTCGGGCCAGCAGGCAGCATGGTGGTTAGTGTGCTGGACTCCCACACAGCCGAGCACAGTGTGAGTCCTGGACCCAGAGGCTTGAAAATCACACTGGGAGCATGTTCGTGTGTTCCCTCTCCCTATCTCTCTCCAGCAAGCACAGATGCCCTATGGCAAAAAAGTTAAAAAGAAGAGATTACACATAGCCAGCAGGTGGCATGGTGGTTAAGGCATTGGATCGCACATGGCTGATTGCATGGTTCAAATCCCACACCTCACAGCGTGAAAAACACACTGGGTACCTGTGTGTGGATGCCCAAAATCCTGAGAGGAAGATGAAGAGATTGTGGCATGGCCATCCTTCCTGAGTAGCTTCTCACTGTCCCTCTCTCTCTGGCCAGTGCAAGCACCTGCAGCAAAAAGACTGAAAACAAAACTACGTGTGGATTTCAATTTTTTGTCACCAAAATAAACTTGTACTTTAATTCCATTTCTCCATGAATTTTTCAAATCCCCTTATAATTAAGCTGTCCGAAGGTTGTGCTTTCTCTCACGGAAGAATGTACCAAAGCCTGAGTAACATCCCTGCCATGGGACAGAAACACGTCCCTCAAGCGAGGGGCTTGTGTGCTGGGCCCTGCCCTTCCCCGGGCCAAGAATACTGCTTTGAAGAAAAAGCAGGGGGCCATCACCTTACAGGCAGCTGCCATGGACACGCAGGGCTAGCGCCTCCCAGGTGTCCCCTCTGTCCGCCAATAAACCTGCACACACGCGGGACAGAACTGCCCTGGGCAGAGCCAGCTCACACGGCAGGAGGTGAGGAAGAGAGGGCTGGCAACAGAGGACGGCCAACCTCGTGAGTGCAAGACACTGGGAGTGGCTTCTCCCTCCAGGCAGTTGACGCGGCTTTGACAGAGCCAGCGCCCGGCGGAGTGCGCCCGCGTGGTGCCACCCATCCCGTCACCTCCACCTCCAACCGCCTCCCCACGAGCGCCTACGTCCTGAGCTGAGGGGCCGGTTCACCGGTACAGAGACACACTACGTGCTTCCTGTGCCGGACCAGGCGACACGTCCGCCACGCCCCATCTTACTTTGTCTGCCCCTCGTGCCGAGGGGACAACTAAAACCTCTGTTCCATTTTACAGCCAAGACAGTGACTTGGAGGCTCAGCTCAAATCTGAACCCAAGAGGGTCGGATTAAAGCCCACGCCCTTAGCCATGCGGCTGATATACCAAGGATGAGCCACTGTGTGCCGACCTGCACGAGCTTGGTGCTGGGTTGGTTCAGAAAACGAAGAACCAAGGGACTTGACCACCCACCTCTCCGGCTCTGCAGCCGGCATCGCGGCTCTGAGCCTGCTGAGTGCTGGGAAGGCTAAATGCTGCTACCCACCCGTAACAGACTGCCTCTGCCCGGCCTGCTGCCTCCGGGCGGGGAACGTGGAATCACAGGGACAAGGCTGCCGTGTGAGCAGTGCACAACCTTCAAAACCAAGGTCTTCTGGGACCAGCAGTTGGCGTAATGGCTGTCGCTGGGCTCCCAGGTAGCCAACCACGGTTTGAGTCCTGGACCCGGTGGTTTAAACTCACGCCGGGCACGTGTGCATGCGTGCCCAAGATCCCGAGAGGAGACTGGAGGAGAAGGGATTGTGGAGTGACCATCCCCCGCGGGGGGTGATTTCTCGCTTTCTGTCTCTGTCTTTCTGGTGAGCGTATGCGCCCTATAGCAAAAACCTCTCAAAAAAAACTAAAACGAAAACAAAACAAAACAAGGTCTCCCAGGGATGGCAGTGTCACGGTTTCCTCGCTGACACAACCCATGCTGGCCACACGCAGAGGAGGGCACCTGCTCCTCAGAGCCCCTCAGCCACACAGGCACCTCTCCCCTCCGGCTCAGCCCCACACTTCTTTACTAGGAAACATGAAAACGGAGCAGGTGGCCCCTGGGTGTCAGCTGAGTGTGGGCGGGACAAGTGGGAATGCGACACGCAGGGCCTGTCTTTAGCCACAGTGCAGGCCACGCACCCCAGGGCCTGATGAAAGAGAAAGACCTGGCCCTTCAGGCTCCGCCCACAGTCTTCCCAAAGCGGAGTCAACCAGGAAAGACCTGGCCCTTCAGGCTCCAGCCCACAGTCTTCCCAAAGCGGAGTCAACCAGGTGCGCTTGGCTTTTTGCAGTTGCTGATTTAAGGCAATCTGGCAACCCTGCCGGGGAGTCAGGCTGAGTGGTGAAAGCGACAGCTAGTCTGTGTCATACCCCAGGACGGGGCCAAGCCACTTCTCCACCTGGGCCACAGGCATGCCCTTCCTCGAAGCGTAGTCCTCAACCTGCAAAAGACGACACACGTGGGACCAGAGTGTAGGACCACTGCTCCGAGGCCGCGGGGTTTGCAGCAAGCACCCAGCAGCCATCAACTAAGTTCAGAGACATTGTCCGTCTCCCAGGTCCTCCGTTCTCACGCAGGGTAACAGCATGCGGTCGAAATCTGGAGTTCAGAAGCTGGCTGGCCGGCTGGCCGTGTGTGTGAGAGAAGGGAGAAGGGCTTGAAACCAAAGGAAGACACTGACCAGGGAAAATCTCTTCATTCACATTTAAAGTAAAGTAGGTCCCAGAGCTCCATTCAAAATAAGACAGGCCTCTAGGGAAGTCGCCCATGAAGAAACTGCGAACTCACCTGATCCTTGTAAATCCTCCCCACAGCGAAGTACCTGGCCTTGCGGTGGGAGAAGTAGAGCCCCGACACCGCAGACGCCGGGGCCATGGCCAAGGACTCCGTGAGCCTGATACCTGGGGAGGGAGAGTGGGCAGGGCGGGCTCACCACCGAGCCTCACAGGGCAGGGGCTGCCAGCCCCAGCCATCCCTCCGGACACGTCGGACACGAGTGAGGACACGCCCCTCAACAGACGCGGGGCACACAGGACTGTGCTACCAGCCTGGGAACCACGCGCCCACTCGGCCATGCGGGAGCAGCTGGGAGGCCGTGTGTGCTGAGCCTGGGTGCCCCCCGACAGCTCTGCAGGCTCTGGGCAACCTCTCAGGGGTGAGCAGTCAGCTCTTCCATGGCATCGCAGGGGGGCTACATGGCTGTCTACCCAAGCCCCTCATCTGATGGACCAGGAAGCAGAGCACCTCAAGGTCACCTGTCTGCCAAGGCCATCCTGCCAGCTCCCGGCAGAGGGCACCAAGCCAGGTTTCCCAGCTCCCGGGGTCAACACCATGCCGCTGCTCACTCAGTCCCAGACCCTGACTTCCCCAGCTCTGACGCGTGCTTCCAGCCAGTTCCACTGAAAACTGCTTCCCGCAGGCAGTGCAGTGAGGGTGTGACAAGGCTGCCCAATGCCACTCTGGGCTGGGGACACGTGGGTCAGGTGGTGGGTCTCGGTAACCAAAACGCACATGCCACGTCACGCTCTGACCACTGGGATTGAGCACAGGCCAGGGCAGACACCCCGACGGCGAGGGGGAGCATGCTGCGAGCAGAGGGACACGCAGACCTCGGGGCAGGGCAAGCCGGCCCCGGGTGAGTGGGCCGAATCCCCTTACAGGTAAAGAGCAGTCAGAAAACGCCAGAACGGCTCAGCAGAGACCTGGGATGCAGACGGTCTCAGCATCAGCCCCGCTGCCGCCTGCCCCAGCCCTCAACCCCCAGCACAGCCCAGTGCCTCCCGCCCTCACTACCTGTGGCCCGCTCGATGTCAGCCAGCCTCCACATGGTGAGCTTCTCGGTGTGGTCGGGCTGGCTGGGGTACCCGGGTGCTGGCCGGATGCCCTGGAAGCGCAGCCGGCGCAAGTCGGCCACGCTTAGCTGCTCACTGCCGCCGTAGGCCCACAGCTCCCGGCGCACCCGCTCATGGAGCTCCTCAGCGAAGGCCTAGGGCACAGGCTCTGCGTCAGGGGTGGAGAGTCAGCGGGCCCACCTTGAACCAGAGCCCACGGGTGGGGAGTCGGCGGGCTCACCTGAACTGGAGCCCACGGGTGGGGAGTCGGCGGGCCCACCCTGAAGCAGAGCTCACGGATGAGGAGTC